TTAATAATTACATAATATTTAATAATAATTACTGTGTTTTTAATAATTGTTTTCAACTTGCATGCAGTCAGTAATGGAAAGGATTTAAAAATAAAAATCACTGCATTAAATCTTTCAGGGGAGTTGCCAGAGATAAGTAGGAAGACAATGTGCTGCTAGTGGTGGTGCATTTGTTGGAATATGTCGTTTCTTTTCCATATTATGAGAAGCTATTTATAGGTGAAGAGGGGGTGCCAAAGCTGAAACAAGAGTGGAAAGAGAAGTGGGTTGAGGCTTGGTGAGGAAACGGGGGCAAATAGTCTTTGCTGTTGTAAAAGTAGAGAACTACTACTTTGAGCTGTCTGTATTTGCAAATGGGGAGGATGGAGACCTGTAAGGTACTAAAACAACCCTGTGTAAGAGCAAAGTAATTCAAAATTAAGCAAGTTATTTCATTTTTGAAAATGAAAGTTACAATTTAACTTTCTCAAAATCAAAGCGTTTCATTCTGGTCTTGAAACCCGCTTAGAGTGGTGGTAAATCAAGCAGTCTGCCTCCCGTCCCCCCGAGATAGCAGAAAGCAGACCTGCAAGTAAGATAGAGGATAATGCTATAGCTGCATGGCCTAGTGTCTGTCCTGTTAAGGGTTAATGTGTTTAATGAGTTTCAGCTAGTATGGTTTGGTGCTTTTGTATTAGCTCCTCTTTGATTTACTCTTTTTAGAACAACACTTCAACTCTCTTAAAATTTTTTGTCAATGACTTTTTTAAAAAAAATATTGGCAAGCATGGAAACAAAGTTCAGTTATTTCAGTAATATACATTATTTCCTTCCCTTTTTGCCACAGAGTTGTTCTGTGACTCTCTAGAATAGGGGAGACTCTTCCTTTTTGTTCTGTTCATTCAGCACCTTAAACAGAGTGGTTTTGATCAGTGCTAAAGCAGTAAATGTTCAGCAAGTTCTAATGCGTTGAATCCTACACAGAATTGCCGTTCCTGGTGTCTTCTGCTGCATAAGGTCTGTAGAACAGCTGCTGGTATCACAACTATAACGTGAAGCTAGGTAGCACAGAAAGGATGAATCAAAAAGGCTTTTTTAAAACTATCTTAGGTCAGCTAGAGAATAGTAAGACTCAGAGCAATACCTTGTTTTGGATAAAGGGAGAATAAATCATTGATTTTATTTAAATTTCTCCTAATCTAGGAAGAATGTAGTTGATAAAAGCCTGTGAAGCTTTGGTCTAGGTGATAACTGCAAGCATTCGTTTTCCAAATGTTTCCTAAGCACTCTGGTCAGTTTATCTTGTGCTCCTGTCTTAGCTGCAGAAGAATATAGTTGTTCTTTACTAAGGGAGAGGGGAAAATAGAGATGTTTGAAGTTTTCAAAGTTTTATTTTGGATTTTGTTTCCTATGGAAGCAAATCTCTGGAAATGTAAGCTGTTTCTCACAAAAAAAAAAAAAAAGGAAGGTAGGAAAACTAGTCACTTAGAAATGAAAATAGAACATTTCTGTCGCTGTGAAGCATGAGAACTTCAGGTTTTCAACTTCACACTTTTATTGAGGATGGGAAAAGGAGGGAAGCAGTTTTCCATACAATTATATTGTGCAGTCTTCAAGGGAGAAGGTGATCTCTTTTCTCGTAGCTGTTCCTTCAATTTACCTCCCTGAGCTCTTTTTCTGAGGGAGGAATATTTGCATGAATGTGTGTCTGTGGTGCTCTTGTTTTTGTTTTATCTTTGAAGCAACCCTCTGTCTGTGCTGCGGAGCTCAGTTACATGGTGTGTGACTTCTCAAAGCAGAGCACTGCCTGGGGTTCTGGCGGTTCCCTAAAGCTGCGTATCATGGGGGTCTGTGTCACCTTCTGACTGATCTTGTTTTCTGTCAAAAGGAATTAAAATTGGCTGTGGTTTCTACTGAATCTTTGGCCTCTGTTCTAAATGTTGACTATTAAAATGTCATTACTGTGACCTTCAGCAAGGCGTTCAGCTGAATTTCCTTATGAACCTTGCAACAACAGCTTTTCGCTTAATTCTACTCTAACTTGTTTGCAAGGATGGTTATTTGCATCTTTGAGTTCAGTTTCCTTTCTTGCTTTTCAGTTCAACAGTATACTTTTAAAATCAGTCTATTTACCTCAGCGTAGGGAGGCTACAGGAAGCACACCATACTTCAAAAATGTAATAATGATAATAAAAAAGTAATGAAGTTCATAATAATACATTGAGTATAGTAGCTTGGACAAATGGAGCTTGAATATTTGTTGCTTACGAAGTCTTCAGATATTTTTTCTGAAAGCTTTGGATACCTCAAGTATGAACCTATAAGTTTTTGCAATAAGTTTTTTGCAAGGTAAGTGTAAGAAAAGACGCTTGTCATGTGCATGTATAATTTCCTACAGGCTGTAAAAATGGGAGAGAGAAGTTTTAAACATCTTTTTCTTTTGGCTTTAGGAAGGATTTTGGAGTCTTGCCAATTTGTTTAAAAAACAGCCTGCTCAAATAATGTTGTTTTTACCTGCTATACAAGCACGCATTTCATCTTCATCTGGATGGTCCAAATCTAGAAACAGATTAACTTTCTCCCTAACAGCTGGTATTCATATCTGATAGTAAATAAATACTCTAAGTTGCATCCTATGCTAATCTCTGTAAACTTAGAAGTTACCTTATTTTGTAAAAACAATTCCTTACTGATGCTTGAGAAATGAAAAATGTCCATTCTTAAACTGGGATTAGATATTTTATGTAGGAAAGAAGGAGGAGGGAGAGCGTAGCTTCCTTGGGTGTCTCAGATCACATATAAGGGAAAGAAAATCTAAGCCTAAATTAATAATGGAGAAGAAAGTAGAATTTTCATACTTTTCTTTACGAAGACTTTCAGAAAGTATGAGTCACACTATTAAACCTACTATGAACCTACTATTTTAAGAGACGATTTTCTCTGACATAGTCTTGACATTTTTACAGGCCTTTGGTAGTCTCAAGCCCTTCGTTTTTGTAGGTAAGTATGTGGTATGTTTGGATCAGAACATTAACATCCATTTGTGATAGTTCTTCACGTTTAGTCACTATACCAACCCATAAGAATTTAACAGCTACATGGTGATATTTCCTATGACAGCAGATGTTTTTGGACCTTTACAGATCATGAGCCAAGTTGAGGGACAACAGAAGAATCTTGTACAAGCCATTGAAGCTCTCCCAAGTTCTGGGCCCCTTTCTGCCTTGGATCAGGACTTGCTGCTTTTGAAAGCTACCTCTGCTGCCACCCTGAGCTGCCTTGGAGAATGCCTGACTCTATTACAGCAAACCATGCATCAAGTGGGCCAGCATCATAACAGGACACTGTCATCAGGTGTGCACAAGCTCTCTTGGGTATTATTTTATGTGCCTTGGGGTTTTTTATTATGATACTGAAGCAGACAAAATTAACCATTCCTCAGAGAGGCAAGTTGGGATGAGCAGCTTGTAAGCTTCTCATCAGCCTCAAGTATCATAATTTTTTCTTTGCCTAAAAAAAGATGCAAAATCTATTGAGATCAGAAGAGAGGAGGAAAAGAGGTTGTCCTAAGTCTTCTCAGGGAAATCAGGTTCTAAAGACAGCAAGACAAAAAAAAAAGGTGGTGAGGGGGATGGAGAACAGGTAGATAAGCCTATATTCTAAATCACAGTGCAGAACCGGCTTGGTTGTTTGTTCCCCCCCCCCCTTTTTTTTTGTTAGATTGAAATCACAGTACACATTTGTTTGATAAAAATACATGTAATATTATGCAATGCTACAGTGAAAATCATATTTCTAGTTTTCTACAGGGAAGGATGCTGCTGAGGCAGATTTTTTCCAGTCTGTGGTTTTCTCTAAATCTGGAAAAAGTTCTCCATGCTGCTTTTCAGGGAAAAAAAAAAATCTGTGGCAAACTTTTATGAGCCTAAAATGTCAAACAGTGTGATTCTGCATGGAGCTCTGCAGACATGAACCTCTCAGTCCCCACGCAGCTCCATTTTTTCAGTTCACCCAGTTCTACATCTCTGTCCATAATGTCAGAAGTTGGACCTTTACCTTTCTGAAAGGGTGGTCAGTGTTCTTCCATACACAAACTGCACTGCCTACTCTAAGAGCAGGAGCAAGACTTGGTATAAGAGGAGAAGCAGCAGCAGCAGAACTCTGGATACAGGGTGGCTTTTTATGTGTTTCTCAGGTGCTTCAAAAACATGCCCCCCCAACCCGTCCTTACTTACAGTAGGTTTACTACAGGGCAGGATATGCCCTCAGGGCTGCTGAGACAGCTAGGTAGGAATTCCCATTGTGGGGAGAATAGAAATGTGAGAGGGTCAGCTGAGAAGTAGGCAAATAATGTAAAAAGGGTTCTTCGAAAAAACAGTGTAAAAACTTTGACACCTATCCTATGGTATATCATGACCTTCCTGCATCCAGATTCTGATATATTTCATGAAGGAACATAAATAAACAAAAAAAAGTCTTATTTTCTGTGTTCTAGTTTTCTTGTAGAAAATGCAAAAAACCTTGCATATATGTAAATAGTAATGATAAAGTGCATTTAATTGAATTATTTGATATAATTTCATATCAAAAGAGAATGGTTTGGAACAAAGATGAAAAGCATCCTTCAAAGAAAAGTCACTTTCTAGTTTCAAAGTCCCTGAAGGTTGTTTTTCATATCCATGTGATCTAAGTGAACTGTCAGAGATAGATGACTTGAGTTGTACATGTCCTTGAACCTGTGTCCAAATAATCTTCTGTTAAATCAGTGTCTGTATTGTGACTTGATAATGATTTTTGAGGATCTGTGCACAAGAACAGAGAAAAGCAAGCATAACACTAGTAATTGCTGAAAGGGAATCCCATGTTTTTTGGAAAAAAAGCGGAAAGCCACTACTATGAAGTACTTAATAAAATTTAATAAGTGGTTTGTTTTTTTTTTTCTTTTGTTCCTCCTAAGACTTTAAACTTGTACAAGAATCCTTTCAGGAATCAAAATTCTGTAGCACTGGTTCACAGCAGCATCTTTGGTATAACTGTAAGAACCCGAATGCAAACAGTTAATTCTTCAGTGTGTACGTGTGCTTATTCTTTGGTATGTAATTTAAAAAAAAAAAGTCAAAAAACAAAAAACAAAAAACCAAAACAAACAAAAAAGTTACTAAAAGCTGCTGAAATATTTAGTCTCTTCTCCCTGACTTGAAAGAGTCTGTGAAACAATTTTTTTTTCCTTCTTTTTCTTTTCCCCAGGCCTTGTTATGCAACACAGTTGCCTGAAAGAACCTGGCCTACAAGTCTTGATTACTGATTTTCCTACACATTTAATTTTGTCGAGGTGTACTTTGATAGGCTTAACATTTCTGCTGAGTCGGTAGAGTTTGAGTCATCAAAGCTGCATAAACTCATGTCTAATCAGACTAATGCCTTTAAGTAATCCTCTAGGAAACTCTAATTCTGAGATATGATGTATTTCATTTCGATTTTGTGTCCTCCAGGTCAATTTTTTAATTTCATACCCAGAAGGTGCAACTAAAAGATGACCTGTGCTGTCAACTGTTGATACTGTCAGGTGAAAATGACACCTGTTGATTTAAAAGCTGTACGTTCCTCTGATAGGAAGTCTCAAATGCCTTCCCCATGAAATGTGATGGCCCTGTGCAATTTATTGCCAAATGTTTAGATCCCAGTGCTGTCTCATTACCTGCTGCAGAGCGTCCAAGATGCTAGTGGGCATTGTGGGGCAGGATCCACAGAATTTTGTAGAGAGAGACAACACAGGAATTTGGTAACTTATTTTCTTGCTTCCAGCCTACAGTTCCTGAAAGCAGTCCAGTCCAGCAAAGCAGCAGAGTCCTGCTTATGTGGAGTGTGAGAAATAATCAATGGCTTAGCTTTGGTGATTTGAACTTACCCTTGAGTTGCCTTCCTTCAGCATCAAAAGCTCTCACTATTATGCCATAAAGAGAGAGAACTGCCTGAAAAGTAGATATATATCTACTTTCTCTGCTTTCTCTGTACCTTTGCTCTGCTTGTGTCCTTGAAGTCTTTATGGCTGATGACACAAGGATTGCTGACTTCTTCTCTGTGCACCATAGGCCTTGCAATCTTACTGCTTCTAAAGCAAGGACTTAAAGTAGCTGAGAGTTTCTGACCTGGTACTTATGGAATGCACTCATGAAGATTATAATTAAATAGTGGCTATTTTAAACAGATTTACAAACCTTTATTGTTTTACACAGAAAAAAAGTCTCCTTTCTTTTGATGTAAATATTTTTATTGCTTTGTTTTCCAGTAATGTGAGTAGAAAGAAAGCTTTTTTTTCAGTTTAGTGGAATCTTATCCAGAATCTAGGATTGTGTAGGTCTTGACTTTAAATGTTTTTATGGAATAGTTTAAGGATGACATGATTTTTCTTCTTCATTTTCATATTTCTCACAAGTTGTCAGTCTTAGACCTCAAGCCTACAAGCAGACATGAAGATTAAACTGAAGTGTTCAATCTTGTCTTGAAGGGTAGTCAATACATGTTTTATTTCCACTCTAAAGCTTCAAGAAAGGGTTTTGATTGTCTTTTTTGTTAGTGCTTGATTTTGGAAGTGCATCAACAAGAACAGTCAGTGAAGCAAAATCCTGTCTGTGTTTCTGCTTTTGAGTCAAAATAATGTCAAATAATGTAAAATTAATTTCTAGCTGTCATTATTAAAGGTATGTGCATTGATCACTGGCTAAATTCTTTGTAGCTTTTTTTCTTTCATTGAAAAATAGCTGGAGAAGGATGTTATTAGCGGAAAGTGTTGGTTACATATAGTGTGAGTTGAGGATGAGGGATTGCATCTATACAAGCTTCTTTGGGTGTGGGAATTTTACTCTTTTTGTAGGAGGGAGAAAAATGTCAAGGTTTTTCTTATTGGCCAAGAATGTCACCACTTAGGTACATGTAAAGTATTTGCTAATCAGCATTAAGTGCCTTGTGACAAGCTTGAGTTCATTTAGCATGCAGACAGGAAACAAGTGCCTTTTAAAATAAAAATGTGGAGAAGAAACTTTTGTCTTCACTTCAAACTTTAAAACGTTTAGTGTTTTTTTTTCTACCTGTGTAGCCTTTGGCAGAAGAGTATCTCTAGAGCCTATTGACTGCTAGGGTTAACATCCTTCCCTCCCAAACTGTGAACAGAGCAAACTTGAATGTTTGTTTTAAAGTGGCTTTACCAGCTTGTTGTGTTTTAAGTCTGTTTTCTTATTTTGGTGTTTTGGCAGACAGAATCCTCTCTTGTAGTAGCAGCCTACACAGATAAATCCATTGTTTTAGACTGTGTTTCATATTAGCCATTCATTTTCTGAATAAAGCATCTCCCTGGTAGGAATTCCCTCCTATATTTTTCTGTTTCTCACTTGCCCATTTTTCCAAAGTGTAAAATAGAACGTTTCTTTTTTTCTGAGGATTTTTTAAAAACAAAACCCAAACCCTTCCTCACTATGGATTTTCTGAAGTTCATTTGAATGTGCAAATGCTGCTTATTTTGGCTCCCATGGCAGCAAATGGGTTGAAGATAATTCTGGAGTTGGGGGGGGATGTACTTGAACTTTATTTTTGCAGATTCTCTGTTGCCTCTTTTTTGGAGAAGATAAATGGATAGGAAAGACAAAATCTAGATGCTTTCAGTTTGGTGACAAATGACAACTAGGGATTCTCCTGCAGCTGAGATGGCAGGAGGAGAGAAAAATAAGCAGAGGAGTCCTCTTTCGTGCTTAATCCCTCCCCCAGCCCTCAAATGCTTGTGGGCAGGGAAGGGTGAGGAAAGAAGACGGGGGAGAACATATTCTTTGTTACTGGTGTAATTTACTAAATTTGGCATGGTCAGTCAGGTCTCCCTTAAAAGCATCATCGCTAGACTTGCTTCTGTCCAGAATAACCAAAACAATTTCCTGTTCTATCTAAATGCTAATACATTATTCCTTATATGCTCTTCTTTCTTTGGAAGATAATGCTACTTTCTAGTCCCCACACAGCATTAGCAAATACAACATTGTCTTTTTAATCTGAAAAGCAGATGTGCAGCTGCCACTTGCTGTTGCTGGTTCAGCCTGCTGTAGGATTCTGCAGAGAGACAGAACTATTGCATCCATCCCTGGCAGGGGAAGGAATCCAGATCTAATCTTGGTCTCTCCTCAAGGCCTACCATTGCATTGTTAAGGGGATATTTGTTAGAGTATAGTCACAGTATATTGTAAGAGTTTTATCAATAGATGTTAGCTTACAATTGTGCCAGGAAAAAACGAAAGGTTTTTTTTTAGTCTGTAAACCAAGACCAGAGGACTTAAAAATAGGAGGGTTTTTGTTACAGGATTGAGGTAGGTGTTAAGCATATTTCATGCATCAATTATGATGCAAAAACATAGTTTGAAGGTACGTCAGGTACCTAGAAAATCAGAACCAACAAAAGAAAATTATCAACATTGCTTAACTGAAAAATCTCCTGTAAACCTTCTCTTTGGGGAGAATTTCCCTCCCTCCTGCTGTGTGCACCTGTGAAAGGGAAACACGTTTCTCCTGAGGGCATTTGTGTGGGATACACCCTATTGTGCCATCTGAATTAGATGGGGTATTGTGAACTATAGCATTGCTGTAGGGAATGGAGAGTAGGTTGTGTCTAGATACTGTAGTTTTCTTACGTAGAAGCGTTCTCCTGTGCCTTGGTGGATTTGTCTGCTGCGTGTTCATCACAATGGAAATCTGTGTTGAGGGGAAGCCGGAAAGCAGCTCATTTTGGGGTATTTTCTATAAGAACTCTCATTTTATGTGTACATATGCACTGAACTTCCAGAGGAATCAGGCTTGGGTTTTCGATCCTGGAACCACAGAGCCAACACTGTGCAGGTAGAAGAGATCTGGCTGATTTTACTAGTTGTGTATTTGGTACGTCCTTTCTAATTTTTGCATAATTTACTGCAGAAACAGATGTTTTGTTTTAATTAGTGTAGTGCTTTGCATAGTCTTATAGCAAACAGTAAAGTAGCTGTGTAGCTGTGAATGCTTTAATATAATTTGTGACTGCCTTTCTGGAGAATTTCTTTAGAATTATGAAATGTGTCAAGAATTGAATTTACATTCCTGTCAGCTGTCTTTGGCTATGACCAAGAACAGAGCAAAAATCTGTCTTCAAAACAAAAGCAGTTTCTTCCTATTCTTATCCAACTGTGAAGATAAACTTTCTTTGTCATAATATGTTTAGTTTTTATATGTTTTTTCCTTCTTCAAAAGAACCAGAATTGAACTAGTGATAGAAAATTTTGAGTGCCATAATGTGGCAAAGATGGCAATTTCACTAGAGTGGATCAGGTTATTTACAGATGGCAGCTTAGTCCAAGGGTAAATTCCAGTAAAATAATTTGATTTGATATGGGACAGAGAACAACTACCTGTACTATTTTGTGGTAAGAATAACTTCTACTAGTGCAGATGAGAACATTTTGGACGTACAACTGATCATGTGAGTGAAGTAGGAGCTATGTTGTTGTATCCTTTCACTTGCTATATAGAGATTGTATTCTGATCTTAGTTGTTTTTAAGATTCTTTCTGATGAGTTCTCTCTTCATACTTTGTTTTTGCCTGAAAAGTAGGCTGCTATATTAGGTATATGGCAACTCCCTTGGGATGATGTGAAAATGCTGACATCTCAGAGTAAGAAATGTAGAGATTAAAGATAATCAAAGGTTCCCTGATGGCACTTTGAAACTAGGCATGGAATTTTTTCAACTTGTTCAGAGAGCTGACTTTTTATTTATTTAGGTTTCTGTGGCATATGACTAATATCTTTTACTGTATATGTCTCTTCTGCAAAGCAGTCAAGTTCCAGACAGACAGAATTTAACAAAACAATTTTTCTCATATGCAGAGGTATTGAGGAAACAGATGTGCTTTATCCTCTGGACCTTAACTCTTGGCATTCTATTGGTGTTGTCTAGGTCATAAAGTGTTCTTAAGATCTGTTTAAAAACTGATTAAGCTGACAAGATTTGTTGTTTTGTGAGGGTAGCCTTGCCCTTGGGACGGGTAGAAAAACATGCTCACATAGGTCTAACGGTTTCTATTTCTGTAAGAGAGTCTCTAAAATGTGCGGAGAAAGATGAAGTAAATAGTCTTTTTACGGTGTGTTTGTACTGAAGAGGAAAACTAGTATAGTTGTTTTTAAAAACATGTAAGTGATGGTGAAGTAAATGTTCACACTTAAAAATTTCCCCTGAAGCGAGGTATTTATTCAAGTGGGAGCTTTTTCTTGTGCTTATTTACAGAAATTAGATTTTTAAAAAAATATATTAATTAAAAAAATAATTGTTTACAGTGAAGGCCAATTAGATTGTGTGTGCAGAGAGAAAATGGATAGCCCAAGGAGATGATCGAATGACTTATTTTCAGATTGGCATAAAGAGAAGTCAGTTCTATTTTTTGGGTTTTTTTTTAGTCTCTCTGTAATAGGAAAATAGCAGCAATAATCCAATATTCAGCTGTTTGACAGGGAGAAACAAAAACAGGTTGAGATTTGTAACTGTAAAGTAACGAAGAGCGAGAAGCATAGGCACACTCCATAGAAGTCTTTGTGGCTATTCAAAAGTGAAACAAGTTTATTTTAACTTCTTGCCTTTTTTTCCTCCTTGAAATCTGTACTAATTAACATCAAAAAGAGTAAATTTTTTTAACAGTTTACAGACATGTGAATTCCCTCCAAGGAACCACATCTTTATTTGAAATTTTCCAGTTTAGTTTTATGGTTCATGCTGATGGTATGCTTCCTTCCCCCCATGCAGCGAGAGTCCATTTTGGATCTGCCAAAACAAATCTTCAGATTATCCTCTGAATCAGAGCTTGTTTTGAGGGATCTGTTGTTCCTAGCAGCAAATTGCTCAAGACCTGAGGAGCAAGCAGAGAGATACTGTGACTACAGTCACTGTGCTCTTTGTGCCTTGCCATATATACCAACGTCGTGTGTTGATTTAACTGCGTCTTTGGAATGGGGGCAGATGTTAGCTTCCTGATGTGTAGGACCAATGTGTAGAGCCAATCCAAGAAAATGACCTTTTGTTTGATACTTGCATTTTCTCTCACGTGGTTCAACTTGACCGGGACTTATGACATCTACTGGCATAGTCCTCAAAGTCATTAAAACCCAAGAAGCTTTGCAGTGTGTGGCCTGACAGCAGAGCCACAGAAATGTTCTTCCTTTGGCGATGGGAAATTTGAGTCATTGTGTGAAATATACATTTTAAAAAAAAAAAAAAGCTGGATTTTTTTCCCTGTTGGTTACTCAAATCTTTGAAAATCATTTTATACTTAACTATTTGCTTATGCTTTCTTCAGCAAAAGATGGTGCCACAAAATCACGCTAAACAAGTAGACCTGAAGTTTTGTCATGTCATCATAACTTGGTGCCATTTTAGATGAGAGGAATGTTCTGTAATTATTTTATCTTTAGACTTTGGTAAGAGGTCAGCTATAGGATTCATGGCCCATTTTTTAATAATGTAAGTGTTAATATAATAGTACATAGCATTATCTCACCAGATCAAACCATTTACTTTAATTAGGAGGCAACTTCTGGTAACCACTGGTGATATGGAGAGGAGAAACTGCATGTCCTTTAATGTACTTTGTGCTGATTTGGGTCATCTTAAAAAGTTGCCAGTGGTAAGAGGAGGAGATCCTCTCTGTGGCACTAATTGTATTTTCATATACAAATTATGGTAATGACTGAAAAGCTGCGATTTTCTTATCCATATCTCTGCATTTTATAGCAGTGTGTAATTAATAGCTGAAATTTAAGCTGAGGGCTACTGATTTGAATGTTGATTCTATGTTTTAGAGCAGTAAGGGAGGAACAACTGTGCAGTCGCCTTAGCTGATCGTTCTTTCTGTCTTGGCATCCTTAAGTACTGGCCCATCCTGGAAATCAGATGCCCCCAGAAATAAGGGTTGTTCTGATGTCTAGTTCTGTTTGATTCATATTTAATGTGTATCTTTCTAATGAGACCTCTTACAAACTGTGGTCTTGAGACCAGTAAAGCATGTTAGCACTTAATCTAGAAACAGCTTTTACAGACAGAAATAAAATACAGCCGCTAAGCTTAAAACTCTGATTTCAGGCGGAAGAAATGGAGGGTTTGCTTGGATAACTTCGTAACTATGAAAATAGTGGATAGAGAATACTTGCTTAATTACTTAATTAGTGCCAGATTGTAAAATCTTCATGTATAATTCTATCTTTATGTATAATTCTATCTGGTGGTAGGAGTAACATTTTAAAATCTTCCTTCATTAACTTTTTTAAAAAAATATTTACCACAGATAAGTTGGCATAGAAGATGCGGGAGTATTTTTGTTACTAAAGTAAAACTGTGCATGGAAGCACAGAAGACGTAGCAGTTCATTTATATTAGTAGAATGATGAGATGAATGGAAGAAATCCGTAATCTGTCTCTTGTAAATTGACACCCATTTTCTGCTTCAGAAGGTATCCTGGGATGGCCTGGGCCCAAGTCGCACTCCACAGAGCAACTGAAAAACGGTGCCCTCAGCTCCTTATCATCTGCTAGCGCCAACATTACATGGGCAATAGTACCATCTGCAGCCCAGGATGGACAGGCACTACAACCAAATACAGAGGTAAGCATGCTAGGTCTCTATAGGCCATTTCTGTTGTATCTGAGACTTGACATTGATTCGATGCAAACCCTGTACGATGGTGGATGCTTTTATTAATTACTTGTTGTACTTTTTTCTTTATAGTATCCTCTTTGTTTGGAATTAGTTGTGAAAATGATAAGTTTCATGCAAAAGTGCACTCTAAAAACTAGGAATACGTTGACAATATTGCTGTGTGCTTTTGCTTCTCTGAGGTACTTTGGACAGTGGACTATGGCAAGTGTACAGTCTCTCTTCTAATCGTAAAAGCAATTAACAGACTGTCAGTACACATTTCTATCTTCTGGTGACAGAAAAAGCTGTTTGTTTTTTATGCTGGTTTGAGATAGACAGGAGACACTAGGACCATGGCATTTGCTTGCTGCTTGTTCTTCCATGTTGGTGTTTGCTCTGGGGTGTCTCTTGAGTATAGCTGACTACTCTTTGAGTTGAAAAACTATGTTGTTTTCTGACCCCTTTTCCTGTTAAGTGATTATGGGCAGAACTTGTCCACATCCTCCTGCACCAGCCTGTTGATTTGTGCTTTTGTGGCATTTACTTGGTAAAGGGCAGTTCTGAAGCATCGACTCTTTGAGGAGGCTCACAGCTGCGTATCAGGCATCTCATGCACTGAAAGTCTCTCACCATGCCAAACTTCTCCAGCTTCTACTGTCTGCTTCGTTTACCAGTGCTGCCCACCAGGAAAACACTTCACTCTGAGACCCCACAGATTGTAGGGCACGTGGAGCACGTGAGACCTGGAGAACTGGGAAGAAGTTTTTGAGAGAGTTGAAGAAATCCTTTTCTGCTAGTGAATGCTCTTTGGCAATTGGAATGGCTTAAATTAAATTATATTGCCTTTAACAAAATGTGTAATGGCTGGGGACATCAATAAAGCTGTTTGTTTTTCCAGTTCTTTCGTAGTATCCTGTTAATAACTGTGGTGGCATCAGCAGAGAATGAGCAAATGCATCTAGATGTTATTGTTTGACAAATTTTTGACATTGAATTCCCTGATTTCTTTTTTTATTTTTCTTGTAGCTTCTTTTAGATTTAGAAGAAAAAGAGGAATCCACAAGTGTCATTCAAATGAAGCTTATTTCTCTTAATGATTTTCTTTTAAAAAGCCCCAAACTAGGTACGGGATGATCCTCATTTCTGAAGAAGTTGGTAGTGTATTAATGGGGCTCAGCTTTCAAAATATACCTGCCAAAAGAAGTGAGCATTGCTTTTACAGAAGTTATGAGAAGAGAGTGCTGGTTCTTCTATCAGTGCTATCAAAATTAATTCCAATTTTTTCTTTGACTGGGCCTAGATTTTTATTTTAAAAAATCTGTACTTTTAATGATATAACTCTATCTCTTAGTCAGAAGCTATACCCCAAAGGGATGGGGGAGTGCTTTTTGGCTAATGCTCAGCATAATATAGTAGATGTACTGACCAAACAAATTGTGAATTGACCTGTAGTCTGAAATAGAAAAAAACGTTAAATTACTACCCTTGAGGAAAAACTGACTCAGCTGCTTATATTATAGAACGTTATTTATAAGGAAAAGATAACTTCAGGTGTGCGGATCAGCAGTGATTTTAAAAAGAAAACAGACGTTTGTTATGTTGGGGGGGGCGGGGGATGACTACTGAGGAATCTTTCCCATATAGCAGGCTGCTAGTGGCAGCAGTTTCCTTGCAACATGACCAAGTGGCTGACTGTGTTTAGTGACAGCTGTGTTAATTCTCAGCACAGCATGTAGATGCTTTGCAGCAGTGCATTAAGCAACATCCTTAACAAACCAATGACTTGTTTTCTGCCATATTTTTTATATGTTTATGAAGAAGCATGGATCTTTATAATTCTCCTCTGGAATAACAAGGCTCATGTGATGCAATTTTTTTTGAATCCTTAAACATTCTTGAGGGATATAGGAGGTTCGAGAGTTTAGTTTTGATGCTGTAGATAACTAAAGTAAAACCTTTCTTTTTGGTCTGTCGCACTGTCAGGGTTTCAGGAATGCAGAGTTTCTCCCCTGGTGAAATAATACAGCAGCTAAAGATTCTTCTCTTTAGATTATATGTTGGTGTTTACTTGCTTTTGTTATTTACGGTGTTTGTTGCTTCCAAATGCAGGGATATCATTTGAGATATTGCTTAAACTAGTTCAGAAAATACAAGATTTTGTGGCAGAGATTATTTTCTTGTGTATTCCTTGCCTATTTTAGCATGTCCTTTCTTGATGTTGCTGTTTCATCTTCCCGGATGAGTTTTCTTTTAGGGTTGTGATATAGAACAGCATGAAGTTGAAGCCTGTTATCTCTACTGAAAGAAGTAACCCCTGACAGTGAAATGCTGGATCAAGCAGCTTTGTCTTTTGTTTTTCATACTTTGGTTTTTTTTGGTATAAGCCTCCAAGTTTTAGTTAGTTTACTTTTTTGGATTTTTTTTGGTCTGTCCACCTGAAATATCAGGTGGAAGCGCAGCGGTAAGGGCTAAGCTGAACAGAACTATTCTCCATCTGATGTGAGTTGATGTAAAATACTTTTGTGTATCCTCTAGTGAACCGCTTTGGACTTTTTGGTGTAAATTATGTTATAAGTTCAAGGTATTATTTAGGGTTTTTCCCTTAAAGCAGAACAGGACAAATCTGGTATGGAGTATACCAGAGTACACTCTTCAGAGCTGTGACGTGAACTTGGTCTGTGTCCAGTCTGCAGTAAACGGGACCCTGCTTCCTTCATTTAAGGGTTTATAATTTTGAAATTCCTTTCAAGAAATGCTGAAATTGATTAGTTTTAAAATATTGAGTCTCATAGTAAATTGAGTTGTAATAAACTTGGTGCCTTAGTAGAATAAAGGTGTGAATCACTGCCATGTGTGAGCTACTGTTCCAGTTCAACTAGTTGTCATTTTGGGTGTCAGAATTCTCCTTCTGAGCTGACAAAATGTATCTACAGGCCAAATGCTTCCCCTGGCAGCCAAATACAAATGGGAAACAGGCTGTTCTTATGCGGGACCTGAGAGGGAAGGAATGATTTTCTTTTGATCTAACGGTTTAGTTAAGGATTATTACAAAAATCATGCTGTAGCTACCTCTGCAATTTAGCTCTCTTCACGTGATTTTTATGCCTTAAAATGCCATGCCAGCTGATTCTTTCCATCCTGTGGATCTGGTATCTATGCAGTCTCTCTGCTTTCCTGTCCCTAACTTTCTCTTGCTTGTGTGCATAAGAAACTGTACACATGCTCCATATTGAAGTGTCTTTTTAATAGGATTGAAGTTTTAGCTCTGTAGGATTGAGGCTTTAGTTCTGATTATCTAACTGCTAAACCAGGTTTTAATTGTGATAGTGATTGCAAGGGCTGTCGAGTCCAGGTTATTAAAGCTATGTCGGTCCCCTAGATAATCTGAACCTTGATGTTTTCAACTGTAAGAAGGAACTGCGCTATTTATAGGAGGTACTGAATTGTTTAGTTCTTAATTTTAAAAGATTATGTGCTTTTGTCCAATATGTTCAGGTGATAGCTGCTTTCAAGCTGAAGTTGTTTTCTATCTGTAGGTTAGTATACATGCTAATATGATGATACTTCATCCTTTACAGAGGATGTAATAGCCTTTAGAGCTATTACAGGATGTGTTAGAGATGCTAAGAAATAATTTTAAAAGTGCTTCTGCAATTTTAGAAACTAAGCTATATACAAGAAATGATTTCTAATTCAATATTACCTTTTCTTTATATATCCATGTCTCAGCAGACTTGCCCAGGACTGTGGATTGTTTCCTAGTGTAAATTTTTCCTAGTGTTTCCTTGTTCCTTTTTGTACTTGGCATAAATCTGTGTAATTGATGTGGGAGATCAGCTTAGCCATGAACATACAGTGCTAGCCACAAGTGTAGTAATGGAAAGAGAACAGATCAGGGTGGGAAAGTAACATTTGCAGTATTACAGAGAGTTCCTTTTCACTGTTTAGTACAGACATTACAGGATTTCTGAATGTGCTCTGCTTTTTGCCTTCTGCATGATTAAGTACTTTTTGGGCCAAAGAGCACAGTAAATGGCCTGTAATGACTTGGATAGATAAATTAATCTCTAGGCAAAGATGGTACCGGTTAATCCATTCACTAGCAGACCATCTGAAAAATGAAATCCGAGATAATCAATTGAAGGTATATTTAAGGATAATCAAGGGAAGGTATACTTAAGGATTAAATGTACAATTACACTAAAAGTAGAATTAAATGACCCTAAGCCTGCTGCAGCAGCACTGGCAACGACTAAGGTAATCTAGCTAATTTTGATCTTCCCCCCCCGCCCCCTTCCTAGCTTTCTGGAATAGTTACTGTGTCAGCAAACAATCTCTAGTAAAACTGTTTATGCAAATAATTAATAAAAATTTAGCTCCAGCCAAAGCCATTGCATTTTGTTGAGTCACTCCCACCTCCAAAATGCATGTATTCCATCTGCTATCTGTATAATATATTTGAGAGTAATATTCTACTTAAAATAAAAATATGAAGCTTTATTACAAAATTTGCATCTAATTTGAATGAACATGTGGCTCTGATTCATGTGGCATTCCATGTTTACTAGTGAAATTCAGTGAAAACTAATCATTGGAATATAAAGAATTCAGGTTCCCTTGCAGTAAGGCTTAAAAATTGAGTTAAAATGGATCAGTTGCTTACTCTGTCCATTATAAAACCTGTGCCCACTGCAAAACGAACTCTGAAGCCACAAGTTAATTTCAGTAACTTCAGTTACTCTGAAGTTAATTTTATTTCAGGATTGTGTGCTAATTGATTTGTTGTGTGCCTATTGATATGCTTTGTGCTGTCAGTTTTATTTCTTAGTATGTTTGTATGTGTGGGTTTGGTAATACTGCCCATTAGTAAGCTTACCCATCTCATTAAGACTGTCGAGAACTTAGTTAGACTTTAGTAAGCTGGGCTGAACTCTTCTGGGCTGAACTATGATGAGTATTTGTCTTAGGTTGGAATTGCTTTATCTTGCTTAGTGAAGCTTCATCCAAACTGGCTTCAGCTGTTCCATCTGGTCTTGCTAGAAAAATAGTAGGGTTTTCTGCTTGTGGTGATGATTCTTTATTTGAAAAGCCCTGAATGTGGAAACAGCTGGGATGAAAGTATTTAATTATAAAACTTCATCTCAGAGGAGGAGTTGGAAGGAGAAGATGAAAGAGGTGGGACTGTTCTGTATTATAATGTAGAGAGACCACACAGTCGTCTTCACAGTCTGAGATGGACCAAGCGATTCATCGGACTGAGAACAAATCTTAGAAGCTTTTCAAGTAGAGAGTTTCACTGGCCTCAAGAAGTTAGCTGTATAAAAGGTGACAATCTTCTAGGCTCAATTTGTTTCACATATAAATTGAATGTTCTCCTGGTATGATTTCTACTGATTTATTTTTCTCTTGAAAGACTTGAGCCTTGTCTTTTTTTTTTTTTTTTTTTTTTGATTTGTGTGTGTGGCAGCAAAGAGAACGTATATAGCGGATGGGACAAGAAATTGCAGGAGGATTCAGGACGGCAGCAAAGAGAACGTATATAGCGGATGGAAAAAGAAATTGCAGGAGGATTCAGGATGGTTTTAATAAGTGTGTTGCCTTGAGGAAAGATTGTTAATACTGCTTGTATTAACATGTCTTTACCATTTCTCTCCTCTTATAAATATGCTCGCATGTGATATTGCATACAAGAAATAGCACTGTGAGAACTGGATTTACATATAGATTAGTATTGCAAGACCAGATGATTGTAAACGTTAAATTTGTAGTTGTCCATCTTTTTGTGCCCTCTTTGCATATGTGAATGGTATATTATTGAGTTACGTGGTAGCATTTTTCTGCCATAAATTTGCTTAGCTAGCATACAAAGTGACATAAAAGAGAAGAGAATTACA